TATGCCAATAAGATCTGGGTGAATAAAGATATGCAAAGTGCAAGACTGTAAATTAATGGGAAAAAATCGTCTCCCATTTGAAACAACACACATGCACAATCATATGCACACACACACATACACACACCCACACACCCAATTAAGATTCTTGGCCACGTAGATTTATGGCATTTATATATTTTGTTCCTCTGGGTGTGAAAAAGTGAAGGAGGGTGTCCCTAAGATTCTTCATTTAAAATTTTTTCCTATATATGGAAAATGTGTCTAAAATCCTGGTGGGAAGTAACTTCCTCCAGTTCAGAGAAATGGTTACAGAGAATATTTGTTACTGGGTACTAAAAAATACCAGTCTAGAAAATTCCCACTCAGTTCTTCCTGCTGTGCTGTGTAGTTCTCCCATTGGCTCATAGGCTTGGGAAGCTTCATAGTCAATATTTTCCAAAAAGGATGTCAGTCTTTCTGATCCCTACTTTTAGAGAGCAAAAGAGAACATCTACATCATACCAAAGAGTGTCTGAACTGAGTTTGGAGTTTGGGCAATCAGTCCAGATGGGTGGCTGAAACCAGAATGTTGATATCAGGAGGAAGGGACACAACTGGATGAGATTTCCAAGATCCATTGTCAAGAGTTCTCGAGTCAGTTATGCAGCATTCTTAATGTTGAAGTCGGTCCTTTGCAAAAGTACCCCCCATGCAAGAAAACCATCAGGTCACAGATCTTTCTGAAGAATCAACACGGTGTCACAGGCTGTTGATGGGTTGACATCTAAGGTCATGGACCAGTTTTCTTTGGGGGACACTCTCATAGAGTGTAAGAGTTGCATCAGCAACATGTCATTGAAAGCTGTCACCAAATACAACAAACGAGGCCGAGCACTGCTTATTCATGCACCGATGGCCCAGTAAATTGAGAGTTCTCAAAGACTGTTGAAGGCAACATCAGAATATTGTATTAAAGTAGCTTCTTGGTCCAAACACAGATACATAAAGCCCTACAAAGAATGGCAAGGCCAGCCTTTTTCATAACTGTGATGTTTGGCAATTTCCCAGGCATTTTTCTTTCTTGAACTATTTTTTTTTAATCTTTATTTATTTTGAGAGAGAGAGAGAGAGTCAGAGAGCATGAGTGGGGGAGGGGCAGAGAGAGAGACTGGGAGAGAGATTCCCAAGGAGGCTCAGCGTTGTCTGTATGGAGTCCTGGACAGGACTCAATTCCACAAACTATAAGATTGTCACCTGAGCCAAAATCAAGAGTTAGACTCTCAACCGAGTGAGCCACCCAGGCACTCCTCTTTCTTGAACTATTTTAGACAAAATGCTATGGCAGTATTTGCCACTTACAAATACTGGAAAGCAGGGGTAAACAGAAAGTCACTAACAAGTACATGTAGCATGAAGACTGATATCCACTTTTATAAGAAGATAATCAGCAATTAATGAATGGGAAAAGCCCAATGGCAGCAGTGGTTTTCAGCATGTCTCAGAGTTGAAGGGACCAAGGATCTAGTCCTAGCTCCTTCACTTACTTGGACTATGACCTTTGGATATTATTTGACATCTCTCAGCCTCAGTTTCCTTACCTTTAAAATGGGAACAATAATAATACTTATTCTGTGGGATGGTAGAAAGGACTAAATTAAATGATATAAGTAAAGCACTTTACTACAGTGCCGGGCACATAATAAATTATGAAAATATGTTAGCTACTTTTATAATAATAATAATAATAATAATAATAATTATCATCATTACTAGTTATAATTAGAACATGCTTTTCAAAAGCGATCACTTTGAATTTAACTTGTATGCCATCTGATCTGGAAGTATAATGAGGGTATCCAATTCCTACTGATTTAGTGAGTCAAACAGAAAACCAAAACAAATTGAATCATTCAACTGGTGTATTTAGAATTGCTGATGATTATAGCATTCAAGAAAGTTAGTGAAATACATAAATTGCAATTGAACTGTTCTTGAAAATCCCCCAAATCAGTTTTCATTTGTCTAGCCTAATGCTGGGTAGGACTTGTTCATTTTTTAAAAATATATATTTAGAGCTATCTAAATAGGAAACATTGTGGAATGTGAACATGGAGGAAATAAAAGGTGTTAATACAAAGAGGGTATGCAAAAATCATATATGTTCCATCTTTGAATACAAAAGAATGCATTGCTTTCACATGCAAAGCATGGAATTATCTATCACTCATTGCCACTTTATTTCATCTCTCTCTCTCTCTCTCTCTCTCTCTCTCTCTCACACACACACACACACACACACACACATGCACTCATGCACAAAAGGGAGACTACAATGTACATAGTCAGCCTTTTTGTACCCAGCACTGATTCTCTGCTAAGTCGGCTCTGCTGTCAGAGACCAGTGCACAGATGGACGGAAGGTATGGCATTAGCAGCAAAGTTATGGGGCCACTCCAGAGATTTCATTCAAAGGATAATCTGATTAACAAAATTTGAGACAGACTGGTATATGCATTCTTTTATCATCTAATTCAAAAACCTCCACAACACAACTTGCATCAAATCACCAGTATCAAAGGTCCTAAGGTAGCATCGTTTGTGTTGAGCATGCTGCATTGTGACAGTGCTATAAGCCAGGGAGACAGTTTACTGACAATTCTGTGCTACCAGATACCAACTCAGGCCTCTGTCCAGCTTTACATTGTCAGCTCTCATGGAAACATGAGCAGCTACATAGCCTCAGAGGACGCTGAAGTCTGGATTGCAAAAGATGAGATGGACAGATTTCATATTTTCATTGCAGATTTTTTTTTTTACTGTTTCAAACTGCTGAGCATAATTTTTTTAAAAGGCAGGAAATGCAACTAGTGTTTGTTTCTAGCATGGCTTCTGTTTTGAGATTTCTTCTTTGTGGAAGAAATGTGTTGCCCAGCTGTCTAGAATCCCAATCAGGATATGGCTTCAGTATGAAATATATTAAAAGAACGATTTTAGCTGGTTATAAGCAGGAACGAAAATGAGGCTTGGGCTTTTTTATCCAATTTTTACTCACAGAGGGGGCATTCTGGTTCAGTCCAATGGGGCCACTATGAATAAAGGAGGTAAAGCTTAGTTCTGTTACTGGGGCTTTTTCCCCCCTCAGAAAGATAGTAATTGTGAAACACAAAGGTTCACATTAGTGAGCAAACCGAGCTGAGGAGATTCTCAGTTACAAAGATTCTCAGAAAAAAGAATCATGTGTCCACTGGCCAGAAGTGTTCATTCAACTCTTAAAAGGGTGGTTCAACCCAAATTAAACTGTTGGAGGATTTAATGCTTCTCTGTATTAATAATTCTCTTATTTGCAACACACACACGTATACACACACATTATTCAACATATATTGACATATATGTATATATAACATATATACATATATTCAACATATATTAATTAAGACCTCCCTTTATGCACTCCCTAGGGCTACTTTTGGTTAATGGGGGAAGAGATAAAGGTGATCCAAGTCCTACTTTTTAAGATGTATAGAGATTTGTGGCAGATACAGATATTTTGACCAGTTTTTCTATCCTTAACCAACTTAACAACATTTTAGTCGGCTTGCTTTCCGTAACATTTCCTATTTTTTATTTTTATTTTCTAAAATTCATATTTTTTTCCTAAGAGAAGTTTCAGGTTTACTGAAAAACTGAGTGGAATATATAGAGTTCCCATATACCCCTCTACCCTCCACCCCAACACACAATCCCTTTTTTAACATTTTGTATTAGCGTTACAAACATTTTGTATTAGTGTTACAAACATTTTGTATTAGTGTTACAAAAACTGTTACAATTGATGAACCAATATTGATACATTAATTATTAAGTGAAGTCTATAGTTTAGATTAAGGTTCACTCTTAGTGTTGTATATCATATAGATTTGACCAACGTATACTGACATGTATCTACAATTATAATATCAAACAGACTTGTTTCATGGTCCTTAAACTTCCCTGTGTTCACTGAGTCATCCATCCCTCTCTCTAGTCCTTTGCTACCACTGATCTTTTATTGTCTCTATAGTTTTGCCTTTTCCAGAATGTCATATAGTTGGGATAATAGATTGCCTTTGCAAAATAGCTTGTTTCACTTAGCAATATGTATTTAAAGGTCCTCCAAGTCTTTTCATGACTTGAAAGCTCATTTCTTTTTATCACAGAGAAGTATTCCATTATATGGATGATCCATACTTTGTCTACCCATTTACCTGTTGATGGACATCTTGGTTGCTTTCAAATTTTATCCATTATGAATAAAGCTTCTGGAAATATTTGTGCACAGGTTTTTGTGTGAACACAAGTTTTGAACTCATTTGGTCAATACCAATGAGCACGATTGCTGGGTAGTATGGTATAAGGATATTTTCCTAAGAACCTACCAAACTATTTTTCCAAGTATCTGTACCATTGCATTTCAGCTAGCAATGAATGGGAATTCCCATTGCTCCACATCCTTGTCAGCATCTGATGTTACCAGTGTTTTAGCCTTTGGCCATCCTGATAGGTGTTTAATAGTATCTCATTATTGTTTCCATTTGTAATTCTTTGATGATATATATATTTCTTAATTTTTAATTCTTTTATTTACCTATTACATATTTTTCTAACAGCTACAATTTTGACTTTGATGTTTCCATCATTCATTTTATTCAATTACTTATCCACATAGATTGTTTATTTTTCAAAGCTAGGTTATTTTTCCTTATTTTACCCTTCTATTATTCTATTTTTATTATTAGTTTGCCATTTTCCATTAATTATTTATTTCATGTAAATTGCTAATTGGTTCTTCTCTCTACTATTCTTCAAGTACGCTCCCTATCTTTTATTTCTGGTTATAATTGTATAATTTACCCAACTTTCTCTCTTCTTTGCTTTGAAATTTTTATCATTATAGATTCATAATACATATAGCACAGAGTCTGAAATATCATTAGAGATGAAACTACAGAGAAAAATGAAGTGAAGAAATCACTTACCTTGGTTGACAATAAATCTTAACTTCTGTATTGTCGCCAGATTGCCACTAACTCGGTATATTCCATCAACATCTAGACCTGAAAATAAAAGGGTATGTTTTATATTTTCCCATAAAAGAACTGAGATGGTAAAAGGAAAAAAAATAATAAATGTGAGAAGGAAGGAAATAGTAAATCAACACAAAATATCCTTTCCTTAGAGAGAAAACAAATTTCTGTCCTAGACCAAGCAATCTTAAATAGTTTAATTTCAACAAACTAATCATAAAGTTCAGTCATCAACAAATTTAAGTCTAGTTGAATCATAGAAGAGCAATAGGTAGCATTGGATTTTACACTATAGTTAAGGTTCATTCCAAGGAAGAGACAGGAATTAAACAAGTGACGACAGGAGAAGAACACTTACATATACATTATTGCTCTTTTTTAGACAGAAAACAACCCAGGACATTTGTGAAGTCTCTCTTCCTCTCTTTCTCCTTCCCTCCCTCCTGTCTTTCTTATTCTATTCTATTCTATTCTATTCTATTCTATTCTATTCTATTCTATTCTATTCTATTATTTTAATTCTATCCTATCCCATTCCATTATCTTTTTCTTATAATCAGTATAACGTAACATACATTGGTCTGATTATTTGAGACTACAAAATGAAAATCCTATTCCGGATGTGCAAGTAGCTTGATAATCTCTAGTGTATCACAGGTAAAGGGAGGAATCTGTTATGTAGGGAAAATAAAGAAAAAAATCTTCAACAAAATGGTGAAATTAGTTTCAAATTGTTTTAAAACTGGTTGTCTGTAATTCAAAATAACTTATCTTGGCAGTGGATTTGGGTAATCAACCACTTGTTTTCCATATATCTATTTACAGCATCTAGTTATTTCTATGACCAAGTTATCATAAAAATGAGGAAACAAAAAAAAATAAAAAGAGAAATACTTACTGAAACACTACTATTATCCCTAAGGAATGTTGATAACATAATTTTAATGTTAAGAATATGTATTTCTTGATGTGTCCAGGCCTTCAGAGAGGCCAGCAGTGAAGTTACCACTCAACTATCTCAGTCGTTTCTCTAGGGAGATGTCACAGCACCATGATTAAACACTGCAATTCACAATCATAAGTATTAAGTAAATTGATAGAAATTATTGTCATAATATAAATAAGGGCTTTGTAAAGTTTGTTACTGGCATGAAATGATCTCTTTTAGAGTAGGGACATTTCTGCCTTTGTGAAAAATATTTTATCAGTAGTTTAGGATAGAAAAACATAACTTGCAATGCTGATATATATTTTTTAATTATTTTAACATTTTAAAATGTATTTTTGAGAGAGAGAGAGAGACAGAGACAGAGACAGAGCATGAGTGGGGAAGGACCAAAGGGAGAGGGAGACACAGAATCTAAAGCAGGCTCCAGGCTCCAAGATGTCAGCACAGAGCCCAATGCAGGACTTGAACTCAGGAACCAGGAGATCATGACCTGAGCTGAAGTCAGACACCTAACCCACTGAGCCACCCAGGCACCCTGCAATGTTGGTATTGATAGTATAATTCAAAATAATTCACTAGTTTTAAGACTTTATTTTTTAACATTTTTAAAGCTTTATTTAATTTATTTATTTTGAGGGAAAGCCAGCACGCTGGCTCCTTGCTATCAGCGCAGAGCACAGTGTGGGGTTTGAACTTACAAACTATGAGATCATGACCTGAGCCAAAATCAAGAGTCATATGCTTAACCAACTGAGCCACCTGGGCGCCTCTTAAGGCTTTATTTTTTTTAGAGGAGTTTCAAGTTTTTAGCAAAATTGAAGGTAAGGTACAGAGATTTCCCATATGCTTATTTCCCCACAGATACACAGCTTCCTCCATTATCAGCACCCTCTGCTACAATGGTACATTTGTTACAACTGAGGAGCCAGCATTGATACATCATAATCACCTTTTTATCATCGCATTATGATTCATCCTGGTGTTGTACATTCTATGGGTTTGGACAAATGCAGGATGACATGTATCCATCATTGTAGTATCATACAGAGTATTTTCACTCCCCTACAAATCTTCTCTGCTGACCTATTCATCTTCATGATATTTGCCCTTCCTTGTAATAAACTATAGAGCGATTTGGAATAATACAAATAAAATGGAATGGTTGTTAGCAAATGTATTGATCGGTTTAAGTTTTGTAGCTCTAGAATAATCAAATAATAAATTCTTGAGTCTGTGTCCCTTCATGAGAATTATGACTTTGTGAGGAATTAAGATGAAGTTGGACATCTATTAGTGTGTATAAGTGTCTAAGACACATACATTGACCAAAACCACATATTATTTCTTCCTGATGCACCAAATGGCTCCATTAATCAAAAGTTACTCTAGTTTGTTTGCTTTTAAGTACAATACGCTTTTGACAACTGAAATGTGACAATAATGTTAATTAAAATTTTTCTAAAATTTAATTCCTAGTTTTAGTATTTGACCATATTGGTCTTCAGTTTATATACTTCAGTTGTATATACTCAGAACTTTATAATTGATTAGCCATTACTTTTCTTGCTTTGTCATTAGTGTTTAGTACCTAAATTTAACCTATAAGACTTTAAATAATATGACAGATTTTTAAAAATATTAAAACTTACACATTTAAGTAATGTGTCCCTTTCAAAATATTCTCTCTTGGGTCTATATTTAAATTTTTTCTGAACATGTAGCCATTGGGGAAAATATTTTGGAATTCTTTAAAATCACCTTCAGTGGTTCCGTATTGTCCATAGAAAAATGTTGCTGGTGGCAAGTTTGGGGCCTTTGGTAATAGTTTTGGATTTGAGAACAAGACAAAGGTCATTCAAAACCATGAATGGTGAATAATGCCATCTCACTAGCCACCACAAAGAGACAAAATTTCACCAAATGAGAGTGGTCTAGTATTTTCCCATGAGTTATCAGTTTCTCTGAAAGAATTTGAGAAAAATAATATTTGGAAAACAGAAACATTGATGCAACATGCAGACCTACATCCTCAAGTGAGAAAACTTAATTTTAATTAAAACTTAATTTTAATTCTTAAAACTTAAAGAATCAGTCAAATGAGTTCTATTTAAAATAACAATTGATGGTGAAATGTCACTTAACATCTATTACAATACAAACAAGAAAATTTACTATATATATATCTTTTTTAAATTAATTTTTGTTTTGGATCTGAATCAGAGGTTGATATTACTTGAATGAACAAAATTTTGTTTCAAATAAGGACCTTACATAAGTTTTACTTTAATATTCATATCTCTTTATTCAAGGTATAAAATGAAGCACATTTCTATTTCTCTTCTAATTATTTTATAGGCTTTTGTAAATGCATGTGTTATCTGGAGTTATAACTGAATTTCAATTACTGAAGTTCCCCAGTATCCAAAACCTTCTTTCCCTTTTCTATAAATTTAAATTTACGACATAAGAAGGACCTTCCCTTGGTGTTTCGTAAATTTCAGAAGTTTTTTTCTTTTTCTTTTTTTCATTTTTCTTTTTCTTTTCTTTCTTTCTTTTTTTTTTTTTTGAGTTCAGTAATCAAAAACATTTGAAAGAGCAGTATGGGTTAGATACATTACACTTGGGCAATTGGAAAACACTATACTGTTTAAACAAAGCAGCCTCATCCTAAATTAATAACCCAATTTTCTTTTGGGATAAAAGGAGGGAGGGCTGGGGATGGAGACAGGGAGTGTAACTCAGACCAGTGCCACCACTGTGGTTGGAGAACTAAGTCATACCAGAGAACTGCTTTGTGGCTTAAGATAGAAACCAGAAAGTAAGAGGGAGTAAGCAAAACATATTAGATGCAATTTGAATCTAACTTGACACAACTTCCATGCCCTTTAGAGTCAGAGATATCAACACCATATATCCTGTGAAGGATTACAGTCTCTGACATTAGTGGCTCCCGCTTCAAATGGCTCCTGCTCCCCTGCTATCATACTTTTTAAATTACATAAATAGAGTGAAAATAACAAAGTACATATTAAAAAGGAGGGTATTACATTTTGCAAAATAATCTGGAACATATCAGTGAATTTTAGCAGTTATAAATTATATAGGTAGTCTTGAAGTTGATTAGTTTCCCCCTGAATGCCTCCCAGAGTGGCAAACCCAAAGTCCTGGGAATATTACTCAAATTGCAATGATTCACGTGCCATCCTCATTTTGCTCCAAGAACTTTGAAAGTTATGCCAAACCAAACCAATGTAAATTGGTGGATTTGGACATCCTTTTCACGACCACATTATCCTTGCTGGATTGGAAACTACTTATTTTGGAAATATAATTAGACCTCGTATGATTTTGAAATGGGCAATGTCTTCAAGGTACCCATGTTGCTCTTTGGTGAAGTTTGGAGAAAAGTCACTTTCAAAGGTACTTCTTTCAAGAAAATACCATGACCAAATACTGACAAGAACTTTGCTTGTTATGATACAAATACTGTGAAAACATGGTGAAGCTCAGTCATTTCATTTTATTTTATTTTTTATCAGACTGGCATTAATGGTAGTAATGAAAAAGTCTCTGAAGAAATCCACGTTCACTGAAATATCATTTATTTGCTCATCTTTAGTTGACCTTCTTAGGTTTCAAAATAGTGTTTACCATTGACAGAGGTGACTGGGTATTGCTGTAGGAGATTTTCAGAAGTCTCTCCTCTGCCTCCTAAGTTCTTTTCTTAGGAAGCTTACACTAGGATAGACACACAATTAAGAGTTATTAGACCAAATGGTGGTCTAAACCCAGTGGAAAGAATTCAGCTGTCATGAGTAATTCCCATTATAAATCTTAGACACTTTCCAAAAAGAAATCTAAGAGACCAGCACTCTTTCCAGAGTTGCTTGGCCTATTTGCCAAAATACTAGCAGTTTTTAACAATGCAGATGAGCCTGTTAAAAATAGTTGCAAACTGTGGATTAGGTAGCATTCTTGGTAGCTTGAATGGTGGATAAACCACGAAGATGTAGAATTTGAGCCTGGTTGAGAGATGTGCCCCAAAAGCTTGCTTGTTTTTATGGAACATAACAAAATGCAT